GACTAAGCTTTTGTCCGAACAACGACGGAGATTATGGCTGGCGAGCATAAACAGGAAAGAAACTCACTCAAAACACGCACGAATTTGTTTGACAAAAGCATAATGTTGTGTTTTATTGCGAGTGTAAATAAATATAAGTTAACACGTTGCAGTTTGAATAATGTCCTGTATGAACAAAATGACGAGGTATTAAAAACATACAAAACAACATTGCTTCCACTGTTTGATCTCACATTCCAGCATTGTAATCTCAGATTATGTCCCTAAAGATCCCGCGTATAATGTAGTTCCTCATTTATTACATTAATTAAATTGCACGCGAGTTATTTATTTTAATATTCATGCACCGAACCATGACGCCCGCAAGTACATGCATATTACAGAAATCACCGGTGACTGGGGAACATAGGAATTAAGTTGTGCAGGCTATGGCTTTTTAATAGACAGATTAGCATCATGCTACTTCGCTATGATGACTTAAGTTACTTTTCCATTGATTGCACTTGAGCAAACGTCACCAAACCAACCCCACGTCAATCTGATCGTACACCTCCAGTGATTTCCAGGCTTGGAATTTGCTTACATGTGTAAAAACTCCTCACCAATACCAGATAATTGTACACATGAAAATACTGTATCTGAGGCAAAGTTGCATAATCGGTGCTCAGTGCTTCTCTTGTTGCATAAGGATACACACCATTTATGAATGAAATTTTCGCATTGTACCTCTCTATGTCTTGTTCTAATAGTCTCTTTATAATCTATTACACATTGTCTTTTCATGATTTGCATAACAATATAAACAGACATAAATATTTGTTTGTAAAACGACATTCTCTGATAAAACGTTGTAAACGCCTATGGTAAACACAGCGGTTTTGCCCTCAAAGATGGCGTCTCCGGGGAGGTCACGTGACAATTTTTTTGCCTGTGGGAACTATGTATACTGTCTATGGGGAAACAAACGGATTCCCATGAGAACAGAACTCGCACTAGATCTGCAAAGTTTCTTGATAGCAAAAATGGCACAAACTTAAAGAAGCTAACGTTACTGAATACGGGGTTACAGAGGTTTCCCTTTGAAATGGTCGAAAACTGGATTAATGACCCCACACAGCGGCCAAATATGGACTATTCAGACATCTAACGTTACCACTATCTAGTGGAATCACCAAGTAAGTAGCCTTTTTTATTTATTTATCATTTACACACTCACAGTAGCCTATTACAAACTACTAGACGATGAGGCCATTAACTTGATTTAAGCTATTGACAGTTTTGTTGTCGACTAGCTATTAGAAAGACTAGCTGTTAGCAGCTAACGTTACCTTATTAGACTATGTCAATAGCTTAAATCAAGTTAAATATGATCCATTCATCGTCTAGTTTGTCATACTGTGAGTGTTAATGAAAAAAAGGCTAGCTACGTGCTTACTTGGTGATTCCCCGAGATAGTTGTAACGTTAGATGTCTGAATAGTCCATATTTGGCCGCTGTGTGGGGTCATTAATCCAGTTTTCGACCATTTCAAAGGGACACCTCTGTAACCCCTTATTCAGTAACGTTAGCTTCTTTAAGTTTGTGCCATTTTTGCTATCAAGAAACGTTGCAGATCTAGTGCGAGTTCTGTTCTCATGGGAATCCGTTTGTTTTCCCATAGACAGTATAGAGGTGTTTTCCCCCAAAAGGGGGCGTTACCCTTCGATGACGCAAAAGTGGCGTTGGTCTATAGCCTGGCATCCCTGATTACACCAGTCTCCTGTCCATTCATCTGGAATCTGACCCACAGGTTAGCACACATGAATGAGATTCTACACTTGATTTCCCTTGCGCTGTGCATCAGCACACAGGACACTGTCACAAAAAGATTTCCATCGTGGATTTTTTTAATACATAACAATTTGTTTTAGTTTATGACAAACCATGCACAAAAGTAAATATGCGCATTTGTTAGCTTTTAGGGCTGTGTCTATCTTGCTGACTTGATTGGCATAATTTAATGTTGTCATATTAATTCAGTGATATTAATTTTTTTAATCAAATAAAATGTCATGACAAAACATTTTACGGTGCAGAGAACAAAATGTTGTATCTCTAAATTAGACTTAATTTTGTTTTAGAGAATATCATTTTAATATACCTCCAAATAAATAACTGAAGCACTGTTTGCTAATATCTTCTAGCCTAAACTCTACCGACAGTAGCGAAATAGACCATGCACCTGTAAAGTGGATTAAAAACGAAATCAGATTTAGTCAGTTGAGATCATTCACGTGTATCATACAGAAGAGCAGAAAAAAAAAACTGCAGAAATGTGATTAAACAAGTAGGTGTGAGAGCCAACTGGAGCCCAGTACATTTGACCCTAATACTTGGTGGCTACAAAAGCCACTTCACTGCCTGAACAGCTCAGCAGGTTTAGACAGCAACTCATATAGCCTACAAGACAGCACACCACAAAAAAAATGAATACTATTATAACATTTTTGCTTGCTTTTTTACACCATAACAAAAAAGCTAAAAAGAAAAAGAGGACTGGGCACCATAATAGTAGGACTTCTGGCATTAAGAGTTTGACACTTCATATGTTAAATACAGGTTAATGAAATTATGTATGGTTTTTATAAGATGGCTACATTTTTGGCAGCATAGTTTGTCATGACTTCATTAGTTTTGACCTTTGACACAAAAGCTAGGAATAACATGAACATTCATATAAACATAGAACAAAATGACTCATTATTGACAAATGTGATTCAATAAGCCTTGTGAGTAAGAGGATATGAGTGCCAGCAGAGAAATGCTCACAGAATACATTAAAAGACTAAAACAACACAATTGAGCAAATGCTACGTTATTCAGGAAGTAAGTGATCACATTATACTCATGTTTGCCCACATAAAGCTGTTTATGATGTGAATAGATGATATTGCTTTACAGAATGGCATAGCCGTATTTGTAGCAATATTAGTGGACTAATTTGTAAAAAAAAAAAAAAAAAAAACAATAATATATATACAGTATATAGGCATTATTCAATTAAAACAGTGTGTCTGAATCCAGATTTCTATTAAAAAAATATTTTTAAAAATTCAGACAAGTGCACCCAGTAAACAAGCCTCTCTCCTCCTCCTCTTTTTCTTGTTCTGTCTTGGATCCTCCATACATTACAGATCTATGTGATTGTGACGCTCTGACTGTGGAAAGCTGCATTGCAGCACTGCTGTCAACCTTAGATGAAATCTTCCCTGCATTAGCTGCTAGCATACACCAGAATCCGGGTTATTGCATTTTGCTGAGCCAATGCAGAGGTAAAATAGAGGATGGCCTTATTTAGCAGCATGCTAACCCATGCTAACCCATGCTGACCCACTTAGAAATAATGAACGGGGATGGTGGAGGAAAGAAAATAAGGTGTGATGGCCGTGTGCTAGCTGGTGTTATGCTTATGTGTATGTGTTTATGTGAACGTGCTTGTGTGTGTGTGTGTGTGTGTGTGTGTGTGTGTGTGTGTGTGTGTGTGTGTGCGTGTGCATATACCGTAGATGTGAGTGACCTTGTGGATTTCTTAGGCTAGTGACCTAAGAGGCTTAGGTAGTTGTGGCAGCTCATATTCAGATCAGACACACACAGTGTTGGGGAAAGTTATGCATTACAATATTGCGTTACTCCCTTAGAAAGTAACTAATTGCGTTACTTTTTTAGAAAAATAATGCATTACATTTCTTTTGCGTTACTTATTTTTCAACCCTGGACTGGGCTTGTTTTTTTTATTTTTTTTATTTTTATAACAAAACAGTTATATTTCTTGACCAATATAAAGACCCTCTCACCCCAAAAGTGAATAAGCCTCAGGCTGAATGAAATGCTAATTCACTTGTATACAGTAGAGGGCGCAGCTCAAGCTAATTTTTCAGCCCTGTTGTTATGGGCTCTATGCACGGCGGTATTTCTGGTGAAGGTGTAAGGATGCTCGATGACTTCCGCCGATCGTAGAGTCCAATGCAATACCAAGAATTTATATTGAATTTTATACTCCATGGTTATACTAAAGAAACGTTAGTCACAAAATATAATTATAAAACTAAATATAAAATTATATTTAATAAATATAACTATATATAAAATTACATCTAAACGTATGAAAGTTTCGTTTCAAAGACGGGAGGACAGTAAATTTTAAAGACTCTGCCATAATTCCGTTTTCCTCGGTTTTCCTCCGCTCTAATCTCCCCAACCGGAAACTGACGAGCATCCTTGCGCCGAATGCGGAACCTATGCGTGCATATGGCCCATTCTGTATAGATGAAGAATAAGATGCAGGAGAGTTTAAGACTTACTTTTCCAAAAAAAAAAAAAAATCTATAGTAATTTCTGCTTATGGTTTAACTGAATCATCGAAGGTTTAGTAGATAAAATGCATAAAAATGTATGTTTCAGTTAATATATTCAGTAGGTTTGCTTAGGATTCTGATTCTGCATTTCACCGATTTTATTCATTTTAAGGAATATTGAATCTTTTTTTGTGCAAGTGAGATAAGTAAATGCACAGTCACATTGAGGCTGGAACTACAATAAGCACCATGTTTACAAACAACGGTCTGCACTTCGATTTGTCTCAACATGGGCACAAGTAACTTAGTAAAGAAAGTAAAGAAAACAAAGTAACTTGCGTTACTTATTTGAAAAAGATATTTTGATGTAAATTGTACTTGAAAAAGTAATCTCATTACGTAACTTAAATTGATTTTTTATACAGAGGTGATATTTTCTAAATTCCTATGCCTAAACCTAACCCTCACACAAACCTGTTGATTTCTGTCAAATTGGTTGTTGTTTTTATTATTATTACTTACTGTATTTATTCTGTCCTGCACGGCACTTTGGTCAGCCTTGATTGTTTTTAAATGTGCCTTTTAAATAAATATTGTATTGTATTGTATTTCAAGAAATCCATGATTTAATTAATGATCCTTTTGAACATTGTGCTTTTTCTGCAGGCCAGCTCATGACATCAGTCTGGAAGAGTTTGATGATGAAGATTTGTCTGAAATCACAGATGATTGTGGCATAGGCCTCAACTACGACTCTGATCCATATGAAAAGGTATGAACCGTTCACAATGCATGATTTATTTGATTTGACTTTTTATGAGACAAGCTGTCCTGTTCTATTTCTGGAAAACATACTATTATTATTTTTTAGATGAGACTATTCTATTCTATTCTATTCTATTCTATTCTATTCTATTCTATTCTATTCTATTCTGTAATGAGTTTAGTGTTCTGCATAAAGTGTGATGCTTCCTGGCCTATGAGTAAAGGAAACCTTAAGAATCACTTTTAGAATCCAGCTCTATCATGCTCAACATACTTTTTCATGGTCATAGCAGCAAGAGCAGCTAGAACGTATACGTAGATATATGGATGTGGCTTTATCACGCCATTGGAAATAGTGTCATCACTTTACTCACTAGTTGGCATGTCAAAGAGCTCATTTGCATTTTAAAAGGATCTAGGTTTGAAAGCATAAATATTCCAAAATGATTGTGACAGGACGTAACGTAAAGTGGAATTTCTCTTGCTAAGCTGATTTGATGGTTATGTTTTTATGTTTATCTATCTCCCTGTCTATATACGTAGGCCTTTAAACCTTTAAACTTTAGTTTTTTAAAAAGCCAACATTCAAAATCTGTTTTGATAAACTTTGCTTTCGACAGTTCAAAGAATTTCTTTGAATTTCAATTCCTTTTATGAATTTCTTAATTCCCTTAGAATTTAAATATAATTCTGTATCCTGTTTGCTACGTTAATTCAAAATCAGGAATAAAAAAAACAACATTCTTAATTCAATCCTGAATTTTAATATCCAAATGGAATGGAAACATGAATCTTCTACACTATATACTTATGTAAAACGGTAAAACACCCGAATGCAGAGGCTTTCCCTTTGAAGTCCTCCTTGTGTGCAATGTGTTAATATGGGTGGAGTGTGAATGTGCAATTACCCATAGTTGTATTTGCTGCTATGTTTGTGTGCTGGTGGAGGGCTTGTAAATGTTTTATTGCGGTGGCGGTGTGCCACGGCTGCAGTATAAGGGCTGGTGGTGACCCAGTGAAATTTGCTGCTATGCAGACCTCTCTTTTCAGCTTTCTGCCTCAGTCGTGTTACAACAAAACCATTTCCTATTCCTTACCCTGCTAATTTCTTCTGGCCATGTTCTCAATGTTCAAACGTGCATGTAAAGTTTCGATTATAACACTTCACAACACGTGCCTTTGGTGTGTCAAATTGAAATGAACCACACAATTGCAGTCTATGGGCATCGTAGCATGCAGTGACCTCAGATTGTTCAGTATAGAGGCAGATTGATTAGTTGGAACTGGCTGATGATTGGATGGGCTGGTCTTTTATTGATTGGTTGGTTGATCTAAAAAGTGAGCGACAGAGTCTTTGCCAGGGATATTTAATTAAAGTTACAAGAGTTAAAGATGCAAAAGCCTCTAAGTCCACCTAAAGTTTTTGTTTAATATTAACATTTTTATCAGGCTCCTATGTAGGTTTTTACCCAAGTACCGGTATTTCTGAATGGGCTGAGGCTGGGATTTATTGAGTTTAAAATAAAAGTATTTGATGAGCGTATTCTACGTGCGGAGAGCATTCACTGAATATTATTATCTCATTTTTGACAGAGGTGGCTTTGAGAGGCTTTTTCATCAGAGATTTCCTACCTAGATGAGATCCGGACAATCCTTTTTTGGAATAGTTGTGTGTGTATGTAGTAAACAGTCAAAATCGTAATCAAAGATGAGGATAATGGATCAGATCAGAGCCAAAGCATTAGTGTCTGAGAATTAAAATATATAAATGATAATAAAAATAATTCTAGTATTTTATGAGTAGAGTCCAATTGGATATGAACATTAAAAGGTATGATAAGATGTTTTATCAGGCTAATATTATTTTTACATTTAGATACCTTAAGTTGTTACTGATAAAAGATACTGTATGGGAATTTAAGTTTTCCTCTTGAACTGGACCATTTTTATAGTTTGCTTAAAGGTGCTCTAAGCGATGTCACACTTTTTTTAGGCCCAAACATTTTTTGTCACATACAGCAAACATCTCCTCACTATCCGCTAGCTGCCTGTCCCCTAAACACACTGTAAGAAACCGCGGTCTATGCAGACAACCCAGGCTCCACAAATGGCAACAAAAACAAACTGTGGCAACCCGCTCCACGAAACATAACAAACTGTTCCAGCCAATAACTGACAAGAAGGCCCTGGGGGTGGGGTTTGGGGGGTCAGTGCAGATGAGGAGGAGGGAGGGTCTATCTATCTTTTGTTTGAAAATACTTTAAACGTCAACAAGAAGTCATGTCACCCGACATCGCTTAGAGCACCTTTACAGTAAGTATCTACTAAAAACAAACAATGTACATAATAATCAAAATGCTCTCATTATGAGCAGAAAATAAAAGTTAATTCGAAATTTCAAGGTTTTAATTGTCTTTCCTCGCCATCTACAAATAATTTTCTCAATTCAATTTTCTTTTATTATGAAATGCTCTTAACTTGCTGATAAACAGGCCTATTGCTAAATGTAGTTACATAAAAAAACATGTTTTGTTACAAATGGTTTGAACGGTCGGAGTCATATGCTGTATGTTTGACAAAAATAACTATATTATTTTGCTCGATAGAAACAATGCGCACAGAGCGGAAGGGGCTTGGATAAAGAAAATATTAGAGGATATGGTTCTGAATGATCATTTTCATAAGCTTGTGGTGTGTTATTTTGAAAATCTGCTCACTTTAAACTGTAGAAACAGTAAAATGGTGCTGCAGTTATTTAGTTTTCGGTCCGCTATTTGGAGATGTCTGGTCTATGCAGTGCATCAGGCTACAGTCTTTTTTTTTTGACACAGTTAGCAGGTCTAATACAACACACACACACACACACACACACATGCACAAATCCCTGCTGTCCCACAGGATTATGTCATGTAAAAGCCACACTGCATTGTGTTCGATGGGCCTGTCCCTTGTTTATGCAACTAGGGACTGAAAAATCACAGTAGACATCCTCTGTGCCCCAAATGTGCCACTAAGAGCAGTTACATAATACTATCCTCCATCTGTTTGGATCTGTTTCTTCTAAATTCACCAATTTAGATTTCAAAATTTCAGGGGGAAAGGATCTTGATGTATGTAAGTTATTAACTTTAATAATAAAAATTTTAGACAATAAAAAGTCATAAAATGCGTACGGATTTTCCATACAAGGTCATAAATTACATTTAGCCACGTCTTAATATGATTTGCTCATTTGTTCATTATAACTTTTCTCGATAAGACGATATCAAGTTAGAGTCAATATCGTCATCTGACTCAATGCTCGAAATCAATATCAAGTTCAATAAATGTTTGATAACGTTAATATGCCAAAAGTGGAACGAAACTGATTTGAATCGCACGCACCTCACGGACTGTTTATCCGCTCGGCTCAAAATCCAAATGGCAGCGCAGCGCGAGCTCACTACAGCAGACATGTTTACACTGATTGATACAATTCAGGCAGATCCATAGACCGCAATGTTTGTGAGGTCTGTTATATTTGTGGTTTTAGTAAATCGCACAAAGAAGGAAATAACAAAGAACAGTGTTTATGTTATGATTTGGTTGTGGTGACTGAGGCCCCGTCTACACTACTTGCGTTTTCGTTTACAAACTGAGAATTAAAATGAATACGATCTCCGTCCACACCAGCATTTTATCTGCGTATTAGAAATGATCTCTGTCCACATTTAAACAATTGAAAACGTGGATCACGTGACCATTCACCAACACTGGGCATGCGCGTGCCGGTGTAAACAGTGATTGACGAATCAGGGAAGGATACGTCATGACTGATAACACCCAATCATAGAGCCGAGTGTCAGCCCCTGCGTCAGCATTTCTGAAGTCCTCCATTTTGTCTCGCCTACACTAAAACGCCCTCCGGAGATTCAAAACGCAAAACGGAGGTGAGGCGTTTCTAAACTTCTCCGTTTTAGGTCTTCGTTTTTCACGTTTTAGTCTGGACGGGCTTATGTGGATGAAGACAACAACTCCCAGAATGCACTTGCTTCACTGCCCTAGGAGGCCAGATCGCAGTAGTTAAACAAGAAGTCTATGCTACTAGTGAGACTCTGTGATGAGTCTGCCCGGGATTTTGAGATCGTCCGGGATTGGCTTTTGCGTTCTACAGCCGCCATTCATTATGTTTACTGTGGCGAGCAGGACGAGTGAGGGCCATGTGGAGAACAGCGCAAGGCCGGTGATATGATTACTGATGAGCGACACCTGTGAGACGCACTGGTCTCGTATCTCTCCCGGAGGAGTGGGAATTTTCTTAGAAATGTTAAAACGCACATCAACCGATTACTTGTTTAGCGTTCATGTAAACACTACATTCAGATTGCGTAAAACAAATTCATAAGGGGGGGAAAACTGTAAATAATAAATCAGCTCCATAGCAGATTAAAATACATTTAAAATACATTACAGAAGAAAAAAAAAATTAAACCCATTACAAGGGATCCGCCTGTATTGGGCACTTGAGCAATGTAAGTAATTACGTACATCCGATGGAACGAGACAGAAGGAAGTTAGTGAGGGAAGGGCATAAAAATTGTGTGTGAATTAACGGTAATTTTCTACCATGCAGTGTTTTTGTTGACTTAACTGGGATACGAAACTTCTACAGTGGCCAAAACTGATTTACGGCCTAGGAAAATTGGCTTGTTCGCACTTTTTCAAACTTTCTTATTACGTATTTATTGAATATTTTGTATGCATGATGTGAAGTTGTGCCTGGAATGTAAAACTTCAAATTGTATCATTTCGTCATGACGCTGTAACAGTTTGACTCTTTGTTTCCCCCTGTTTTCTAGTTTTTTTTGGTTTAGTCCTGTTCTGTTTTCCCTCCATTTATCGGTTTCCATGTCGACCATCATCAGTTGACCTTCGTCACCTGTGTCTGGTTAATCTCCTTCTTCTGTATCACCTGGTTTTGGTTCATTAGTGTCTGTATTTAGTTTGTTCTGTTCAGTCATTCTGTTT